GTCTGAGACCAGGAATATGATCCTGAGACCTGAAACCAGGACTAAGATCCTGAGACCTGAAACCAGGACTAAAATCTGAAACCAGGACTAAGATTCTGAACCCTGAAACCAGGACTAAGATCCTGAACCCTGAAACTGTCAGGTCTGAGACCAGGACCAAGATCCTGATCTCTGAAACCAGGAGGTCTGAGACCAGGAATATGATCCTGAGACCTGAAACCAGGACTAAGATCCTGAGACCTGAAACCAGGACTAAAATCTGAAACCAGGACTAAGATCCTGATCCCTGAAACCAGGACTAAGATCCTGATCCCTGAAACCAGGACTAAGATCCTGATCCCTGAATCCAGGACTAAGATCCTGAAACCATGAGGTCTGAGACCAGGTCTAAGTTCCTGAACCCTGAAACCAGGACTAACATCCTGAACCCTGAAACCAGGACTAAGATCCTGAACCCTGAGACCAGGTCAGGTCTTAGATCTTCATAAAACCTTTCTGTTTCAGATAAAACCAGGAAGGACGATGGCTCCAAGTCCAAACCGGACCYGTACGGTGAGTCACGTCACCTGACGGGACGCTCGCTGTGTTTTGATCTGAACAGCCAATCAGAAAGCAGGATTTCTTCTTCTCTTGTTTCTGCAGCCGTGTCGAAGCCTGATGAAGAGGACGGCTTTGTGGAGAACCCTGAACCCTGTCCCGAGGACTACGCCGAGTTCTGCGAGCACGGACAGTGTGAGCTGAGGCAGAACCTTCCCACCTGCAGGTAGGACCCCCAGACTCAGGTCAGACCTCAGACCAGACCCCGCCCTGGGCCTCGTCACCTGTGCAGGTGTAACCGTGTGTTCCTGTGTCAGGTGTGAGGCGGCGTACGGCGGCTCTCAGTGCGACCAGCTCCTGGACTTCAACATCCTCTACGTGGTCCCCAGTGGACAGAAGCTGCACTAYGTCCTCATCGCCGCCATCATCGGCGCCGTGCAGATCGCAGTCATCGTGGCCGTGGTGATGTGCTTCACCAGGTACTGTCACCTGGTTATTTATCCTGATATTACCTCACATCATACAGAACCAGGGTGCAGGGAGGGACTGAGACCAGCAGAGTCCAGCAGAGACCAGCAGACTCCAGCAGAGTCCTGCAGAGTCCAGCAGAGTCACCACTGTAAGCTCAGAGCTGCAGTGACACCTGTCAGCCTGCAGAGGGCGACTCTGACACACAGTTTCAGTAATGATCAGACATTTACTGCAGATTATTTTATTTTTATCTTTAAATGTTGAGATTTATGTTAGTAAAATAACTTGCTGACTCATTTTATGAGTCCTTGTGATAAAAATGTCTCCTTGCTGTCTAATCACACTTTGTCCTGTCGTCCTGCAGGAGGTGCAACAAGTCGAAGCGTGGCCGCAGACAGAAGCAGCACCTGGGACACTTCCCGTCGGGGACGTCGTCTCGGATGATGTAGCTGCTTTTTCTTTGTCCTGCCAGTTTTTTTTATTTAATTTAATTTTTATTTTTTTATAAAACGCTCCCAGTTTTGGAACCACAGACAGACTGCAGTTTTATAATCCAAGTTCTGGTGCCTCTGAGTTATTTTATCCCTTTTTATAAATGTATCATTTATTTACTTAAAGAGGCCTTATTTTCTCACTGCCCTTCATGTTTGTTTTACATCCTCTGTCTCTGAGCAACAGGAAGCAGAACCTTTATTTATCTGATTGTATCGTCTCTCTGCACCGTCCACAGCTGGACTCACAGGTCCTGTCTCTGTTGGTCCACAGCTGGACTCACAGGTCCTGTCTCTGTTG